ATCCCATCCACATCTCCCCTCTTTCCCCTCAAAGCCATTCTTGCTTTGCTGGAAATACAGAAATGCACAAATCCCAGAGATTTTATTGCGGCTTCGTTGTTTCCCTTTTTTCCCTTTCTCCTGCTTAAAAAGATGCCGAAAACTCCCAAAGAAAAATTCTTTCCATGTGATCCCAGCACTTTCCCTCTTGGCTGGAACTCTGGATGTGGTTTTGGGTTCTGTGGTGGAGTTTTTTTCATCCTTTTTTTTTTTGTTTTTTTATAATCCCAATTTTTTTTCACTTTTTATTTCCATCCCGGGGAGAGGCCCTGCAGAATTCCAGACTGGCAGCGAATCCCGAGGAATCCAGAGCGGGACAAAGGCTCAGGAGCGGGGCACAAGTTGGTGCAAGCAAAGAAAACCAGGGAAAAAAAATTCCTTTTGCCGAGGTTTCCTAAGGATCCAGGCTGACTTTCCGTGTTTCTCTTGGATCCCAGCACGGGAGCTGCCGCCTGCCTGGAGAGCTGCGGCACCTCAGGAACAGCGAGGGAAGGAAAATCCAGGGATTCTGAGGGACCAGGTGAGCTCCAGGGATCGGGATAAAGGGATGGGATCCCTGTGGGAGCAGAGCATTCCCACCCTGCTGGGAGATTCCTTGGGAAAAGCGGGAATGAGGGGGTTTGGGAGTGCTGGGATGGCTTTAATTTGTCCCAATTAAAATTCCTGATCCCAATATCCACCCTGCACACGCCAGGACGGAGATTTCCCAGCGGGATGGGGATGGATTTGCTGCGCCTGAGGGACACAGGGCAGGAAGGAGCCGCGTCCCGGAGCCTCCACAGGTGTGGAAACTTCCAAGGAATTCGCTTTTCCAGCATTTGGAATGCGCTGCTCCCTCGAATTCCTCCGGGGAATTCGCTTTTCCAGCATTTGGGAATGCGCTGCTCCCTCGAATTCCTCCGGGGAATTCTCCTTTCCAGCCCCTTGGGAATGCGCTGCTCCCTCGAATTCCTCCAGGGAATTCGCTTTTCCAGCCCTTTGGAATGCGCTGCTCCCTCGAATTCCTCCGGGGAATTCGCTTTTCCAGCATTTGGAATGCGCTGCTCCCTCGAATTCCTTCAGGGAATTCGCTTTTCCAACCCCTTGGGAATGCGCTGCTCCCTCGAATTCCTCCGGGGAATTCTCCTTTTTCAGCCCTTTGGAATGCGCTGCTCGCTCCGGGATGGGATCCAGGCACCGCATCCTGGGATGGGGAGAAAATCCCACCCGGGACCCTCTGCAGGGACAGCCCCGAATTCCCGCTGAATTCCCAAATCCCGGGAAAGCTGCTTTTCCATGGGGAAGGAGGGATGGGCCGCTTCCATCAGGGGGGTTTGTCCTGCGGGAGAAGCTGCCCTGGGAATGACTTTTACTGTAATTCCTGCTGAATCACCGCCTGCGCTGGCTCGGGAGCCGGGAATTCTGCCAGGGAGCCGCCCAGCCTGGAGCAGGGACAATTCCAGGACACTGCAGGAGTCAGAGGTGCGGGCAGGGACACGGGGAAGGAGAGAGGGAA